TATTACGGTTGAACCCCTGATGTCACATGGATTATTTTACTGATATCCTTGCTACGTTTCTGGACGTTGATCATGGTAGTACCCTTGCTGTCTATGGGAGAGCTGTCAGAATGCATCAAAAATATCTTAATTTGTGTTCCGAAGATGAACGGAGGTCTTACGGGTTTGGAACGACATGAGGGCGAGTAATTAATGACATAATTTTCATTTTTGGGTGAACTAACCCTTTAAGGTGAATCTCTTACTTAATCTCTTCTATAGATTGAATAAAATCAGAATCATTTGCACTGCTATTGTACAATAAGAGGACCAAATGTGTATACAGACAATATTAAGAAAAAAAAGGTAGAGAGCTGATGATCTTGATTCTACCCATAGTCATCCTCTATTTGTTTGATAGCACAAGTTCTTCTCAGCTTTTCTTTCCTGAAAATGCCAAAAGTTGGTCAATTTTCTTGAAGCTCAAAAGAAAAGCTTCCCACACCTTTTGGCCAATGAATTTCTATGACTTTTCCATTTGCTTGCAAATATTTAATGTTAATTAATATTGATAATATTGAATAAAATGAAATTTCATTAAATATTTTATATAAAAAATACATTGCATTACAAAATTACATTAATTACATTTTTTTTAATGAATTTTTAATTATTACCATGGGAAACCTGAAAACAGGACATCTAATCACCAGTAACACAAATTTCAGTAAGGGCTTATGATTCATGTGCATGGAAAACATTATCAAGACAACACAAAACCCCCAAAAAAGAAATCATTAAAAAAAATGCATAAAAAAGAAACCCAACAAATGAATCATGGGTCTGAAAGGTAATACATTTAATCATGCTGGATTTTATTACAAGATTTTAAAACCAATGTCAATTTTTGCATGCATTTATGGCTTTTTCCATTGCAGTTGTACAGAAAACTCAGTTCATGCACCATTCGCATGACAGTGGACACAAGGAGCATGCTTTGAGTAATGTATGTTATTTAATACCACTGCATCTCGTGACACACAGGATACGCAATGAATTACAGAAAAAAAAGGCATGTGAGATGCTGGCATGGCACAAGGCATTTGGATTTGCTCAAGAAATTCCCCCTGTCATTTGTGTGAGACTCTCCAAAAGCAGAGACCGGCTCTGACAGTTTTACACTGCACCAGATGGCAAGCAATCCTTCCCACTGTCACACTGGCTCCAGGCATGGCACAGCATCGAAACGTTCACACAAATACACACAAACACACACACACGCATACGTGAACACTTCCATCCCATTGGAACCGCTCTGGCAAATCAATATGCCCGAAAACCACAGGGATTGGTTTCGCACTGTTTTCAAACTAGGCCAAACTTGAGCTACCGTAAAATTTACTGTGCCACCGGAGGGCAGGCAGCGATCTATTTTGGAAACAAACCGAAACGGAAAACTCGTAGCCCGTGTCTCAGCAAATCTATCCGTGAGGCACCAAAATCACACGAGGCTGCACGATTCTGGAGAGCCAGTCTGTTGCGGTAGTTAGCACAATGCTAACTAGATAAAGTAAATACATATAAGCTACTACTAAGGGCAAGCAAGATGTGGTAATACTGTGAAAGATACTGCAGGTTAATGTGGTAATATATCAAAGGCTAAGCTACAAAAGCAAACGATGGGCTGAACACTGTCTAACACATTATGATCAATGTTAAAACTTAATCGACTTCTATTTCTGGATTGAGCTGTTCAATTCAACGCTCACCGAGAGAGGACGGGAAAGAGAGCGACAGATGGGGAAGAGATATTAAGAGGCAGAGATATGGGTAATGAATTAAAATGTAACTTAATCAAGGGATGTTACAGCTGCCGCCCTTTAACAACCCTACATTGTTGTTCACACTGGCAATTTTCAGTGATATGACAATAAGGTCACATACAGTGGCATCCAAAAGGCTACACTGAAAATGCAGGAATAAGAATTTTAAAAGTTGAAATTTATGAGCAGCACCTGGATTCTTGTCCAATTTGTGATCAGATTTTCAGAAGCTATGCCCATTCACACAGGCCACCAATGGCGTCAGAACACAGAGTAGTAGGAACGCCCAGTACAATCCAACAGTACATTGATCTGGGGGCCTTCAGCGATAAAACCCGCTGTGTGTCTGTGTGAACAGGGCATTACAGATCACACCTGCTGACAGAACAAGTTAACCCATTAAATCTCACTGGTCTCATCTATTTAGACTATAGAATGCTTCTATTTTGCATTATTTTGGGGTCAGTAAGATTTTTTTTTAAAGAAACTGATACTTTTATTCAGTAAGGATGCAGTAAATTTGTCAAAAGTGACAGTAAAGACATTTATAATGTCACAAAATAATTTTTTTTATTTTAGCTAAATTCTGTTCTTTCTATTCATGTAACTTTCTATTCATCAAAGAATCTTGAAAAAAAAACTCCCACTATATATATATCTTGTATATCTTACCAACCCCAAACTTGGCAAATGTGTTTACTAATTGATGACCCAGAATAAGATTTTTTTTTCCTTTATAAAAATGTTCAGAATCCTAAACCTTTATTTTATTTCTAGGTTTAAAGTAGGTTTTGAATCCCAGGTTAAAATTTTGGATCCCAATGTATGTTACTTTGGGGAAAAAACTGGCGGAAAAATGGTACAAGAATTGGTAAACCAAGCTCACTAAACCCATGCACCACTTCACATTCCTCCACAGGACTCTTCAACTAACCCCATTCAAGTGTTACACTGGGCAAAGTCACCCTTGCCAACCCCCAACACATCCCTCCGCAGATGAGAGTGAAGCAAGGTGAGGCACAGCCCACTGGCACTGCAGGCAAACCTGTGTTTATTTATAGGCACTTAACCCACTTTATATCACATTTGTCAATGTCAACCCTGTGCCCTAATCTAGCCCTCTGTCAGCACATCATTAGTAAATGCTGATCCCCACTCTACAAACACACACATACACCTCCTGAATTCTACCACATGGTAGAGAAGCAGAACGAGAACAGAGGTCTATCAGCTGCCAGGAACAGGGATAGCCAGATATTGAGTACTTGGAAGCAACGGCAATTATCGACTGTAAAAACACACTTGAAATTCAAAACATATGATGCTGATTGAAGGTCAGTAATATGTGCCAAAAAGGGGCCTTGTTTTTAATTTATCGATTGTTTGACATTTTGGGCCTTTCGTACCTTGCACTCCAATTGGTTAGATGGGGCGGCAATTTGTGGCGACGCCATATAGCAACTCACGTATGTGGCGACTTTCAGCCTGAAGCAACTGAATGGAAACAAACGCAGTGGTTTAGAGACACATTTTGAAAATGTTTTGGTCTTAAAAACGCAACACTCATGCAGAAAAGATGCCAGTTTGATGCATATCGACAAATACTTGAGTACTTATGGTTGATTTATCTGTAGAGTACCCAAGTAGTCAAAATAGCCAAAAAGCACATCTCCAGCCTCTCTTGCACAGACCATCTCAAACCAGCCACAAAAAAAAAAAAAAAAAACGACCCCACTGCTTTATATTTTTGGTTTCAAAAATTTGGGATTCACTTTTAAATCAACGTCAAGCTGCTGCTTTTGTGCATTTGCAGTTGCTGTTTGTTTCTGGCAACCAATGGTGCAAAAAAATGCGCCACCATTTTTATTGGGTCTCGAAAGACAAAAGGGTGAATTAAAGGGACACATCTTCACACTGAACAGCTGCAAATGCTGTATAAGCGACTCTCTGCAACCAGATTCAGTCACAAGATTAAAAGGCACCGGACGAGCCTATAAATAGGCAGAAAAAAACAATCACTCAGAGTTAAATTTGGAGTACAGCTATCTGGATTTGAGAAGGGGGAGGTTTAACTACCTGTCCTTGACTTGCTTGTCTTTGCTGGCATGTGACTTTCCACACCCCTATCGACAATACAGATCATACTATTGCGAAAATATACATACACATACACGTACAGAATTACAAACATGCACATCGCTCTTGCACTCGCTTTAACTGTCCTCGTTTGCGACCCGGGGCATCTCCCTTAAGGGCTAGGGTGCGTCTATTTCTGCTGGCTGGTGGGCGGTTCCAGGTCGGGACCACCGTAGTACTGGCTGCAGTTGGGGTCCCCCCTCACTTTGGGGGACGAGGGTATCTGGACACCAGTGTAGGGGTTGACGCACCAACACTCACCCCTCTGTCCGTGGCTGGACATGTTGCACTGGAACACAAGAGAGAGAGAAGATGATGAGAGACGGGTGGGGAAACGGTGGGTGTTGGGGGCTTAATGAAGCTCTTGGGCGAGTACGGGGTGGAGGCACTACCCCAAAACAGCCCTCCCGCCTCATTTGGCCCAGCACGTCTCATTGACCCCTACTGTGCACTCCCAAAATGAGGTCATAATTGAACTGGACATAGTTGACGCTGAGACCCAAAATAGGCAAAAAACAGATTCTCAATTTTGTCCTCCAATGGCAAAGAACAAAAACTGACAGTTACAATAATTGCAAAAGGAACAGGATGATTGCAATACAATTAAGTGTGGTGAGGTACACTGTTTTGAGCCCTGGGAACAGGGTTTTCGTGTCAAAACAACATACCCGTTTACTTCTCCGGGACACTTTGTCCTGGTTTAAGCTGCAACATGTCATGCCAGGACACAGAAATATTATATCATAATTGTGAACATAATTGTTAACTCATGAAGGTTTCAGTTAGCAAGCTCTGTCAGCAAAATGTCAAAGCCTAGACAATAGACAAAATGGCTTTAGAAGTCAATAACCCTATTTTATAAAACACTTTATTTAGTGTATACTTAGCTATATGTATATATACATATACTGTACATACATACAGCATATGAAAACTCCACATATACAGTCAGAGAATTATAAAATTAATGCAGATACGAATAATCCGATCATTTAGTCATGAGGGTTTATATTGAGATCTCGGACGTCTACTTGCAGACATTGGTATCTTTACAAATATACAGTTTGAGCCATTCTAAGACTTCTTATGAAACTCCTATGCGGACGTGTGACATCAGAACCTGAGATCCAAAAAGACTGTAAAAAATGTTTCCCATTTCATCTCATCAGCATGTAAAAGATGAGTAAGAAAGACATTGAGATATAAAAGATTGAGTTTGTCATTCTCCTTTCCTCTGATGTCTCTAAAAACCAAGGCAAGTCACCCAACAGACAGGTCAGTCGGTCAGCAAAATTTTCATTAGCTTGTAACTCTCAGCTCAGATACAGTTGCCTTGGCTTTGATAAAACAGCCTTCTGAAGAGAATGTGGAAATGTTTTATACACAGTTTCTCTTTGGCTCCATCTTTGACTCTTTATTGAATCTTCCACATGGAATTGGATAATAAAACAGCAGGATGCTGCAGATTGAAAGGTTGTGCAATGTCTCATATTCCTATTTCCCTATAGTGAAATTAACACCCGCTGCCATCCAAATGCGAGTACTTTTTGTGCTAATCTCCCGGCCAATGCGGCAAGTGACCTGCAAAATGTCTCAAATTGAAAATGGACAAGAAGACTTCAAAAGAAAAACTATTTCAGCTACCAAAGCTGCTAATTTCCGACCATGATGATGTCTTTGAAAGGTTGAGTCAAATATTGGTCTTTTCACCTGCTTAAGGTTGTACTGTCCTGTCTTGTCACAGTTGGGGAACTTCAGGTCATAAAGATTTTCCAAAGGTCCCTTGTTGTCATGGAACGACATTCGGGAGATGTTCTCCAAAACTCTGTCCAGCTCCTGTTGACACTGGCTCTGTAAGACCAAACACACACACACATTGGTTTTTATGGTTTATGGGGACTCTCCATAGGCGTAATGGTTTTTATACTGTACAAATGGTATTTTATATCGCCTTACACCAACCCTACCCAACCCACCCCACATAGGAAACTTTGTGCATTTTTAGATTTTTTGAATTACGGGGACACAAAAAGTGTCCTTATGAATCACTTTCATATTGTAATACCTCTGTCATCCCCATGTCATTATACAAATTTGTGTCCTCATAAACCACATAAACAAGCACACACACACACACACACACAATCAAACAAACAAACAAACATGTATTTGAGTATTTCTTCAACTCTTAAAACATATTAAACCACATTTTTATACACTCACTAGTTTATTTTGTCAATCTCCTTTGTCTAAATACCTAAATACACACAATTCTGTAATATTTTCACAATTTTTACATTAAATTCACAAGATTACAGACAAATGTAAAAAAAAAAAAAAAAGTGTGTATGCTGTGCTAAGGCTGCTTTAGACATCAGAAATCTTTCCATTTAAAAATATGCTGTTGACAAGTGAGATTTACATTGCAAAACAAGTACAGTAACATCTGAAAAAAAAACTTGATCAGAGGAAAATGTGGGTTGTGAATGATTTAATAAAACCTGCATTCGAAAAGTAGCAAAAATAAGTGATGAAGGCATAGCAAAATGTGGTAAAAAGATACAGTTAATGTGACCTTCATATAACAAAAAGTTAGTTTTAATAAAACTCCTCAAAGAAACACTCATATAAGGAGAGTGAGATAAACAGCAGGTCGGCGGCCTCATGAAACATTTGTGTGGCTGATATAAATCTCGTACTCGAGCTAATTTGCTGGCTTAGTTCTGCCTCCCCACCTCTCCGCAAGGACAGGCATCGGCATCAAAGACCATTCCTGTCTCCTGTTCCTTCTCTTTTTCCCTATATCTCTCATGATGGCTGCTCCCTGCTTGGCCCAGGATAAGAGGGCACTGGGGGAAGAGGGCCTGCCAGGGATCTTATCCGTATCGTGCGGATGAAAAGTGCTCCATCACAAAGCAGTGAACAGTCTCCTGCTGTCATCGGACATGCCGTCACCCTGACATTCTCCTTGAATGTCTGCTTTTCATGGGATATGTGATGGTTACGCTACTGATTTATGACCCCCACAGAAAACTTGTTTATTCGGTTTGGCTTTTTATTACCCTACCATTATCACTTTTTATTGCATCTACCTTTTTATGGTACTTTCCAACATCCATTTGCTTTATCAACATATAATTTAGCCGTAGTTACTATTGCTTTCAGGTCGGCCAAACCAAACCCAGTGTGCTTCATAGGACAGCTATTGTTGTCTCCGCTGCTGTTTGTTTATGGTCGCATCGATTGTCTTTTTCTTGAACTATTTCTTGCCCAATAGTGGCTATAGAATACGTTCAATGAGGAGGAAAATATGAGTCGATGTAGGACTGTTTTCCAGATCAATGCGCTTAAAGCGTCCTTTAAATGGTGCGGATATGCTAATATGACAACGTAAAGCAAACAGTCTAGATCTTATAAAGATGTCATGCAAAACAAGCCCTACATCTGAGCTACTAAGAATACTACCAGAACTGCCATTTACTTCAAGTTGTACTTAAAAAAAAAAAAGAAAGAAAAATGACTTGCCAACTGAAGTAAATTAGCAAGACAATTTGTCTATTGGCTCAAAACATTAGATGATGCCAGAAAGAGATGCTGATTGGGGTGTTGCAGTGGTCACTTGGCTAAGGATTTAAGAGTCCAGGTAAAGCATGGTACAAGTCCAAGAAAAGTTAATTAACTCTCTGTGGATTTGCGTGATGGCCAAATTCGACAAGCACTGGCTCATTCCTTGTTTCAGCAGGGACGGCAGCCGTTTGTTCTGCCTTGGCAATCCCAATGCGACTGTATGCTATCACCGGGCAATGTTTTAGACACCAGAAATCACTGGTTAATTAGGTAACTAAGGAAATTATCATATGTTTTTGACTGAAAACATAGTGGAAATGGCACCAGATACAGGCTTAATACGAAAAACACCCAAAAATCAGCTTACAGCCGTTTTTGCACAGCTCCAATCACGAAAATAACATACTGAAGCAATAAATTATACACTGACAAACAACCTCAGACCACAGGATTATAGCAACATCAAATATAGAGGGTTGTACAAAGGACATACCGTAAATCTGAACCCCAGACTGTGACTGTGTTAGGAAAATTAATGTTTAGCTGATACAGAAAAGAGAGTATCTATGTCATAGCATGTGTGTGTGTGTGTTGCGTGAGCCTGTGGCGTTGTGTATGTGGTGTGTTAAGTTTGATAACCAGAAGAGGGCACTGCACACAATGACATTCAAGGTGAATACAGGTTTTTATATTTATAGGTCTAATATTCACTGTGTTGCCCTGTGATTCTTCACAGCGGGACACTCACCTGTCTGGGGTGAGGTGTTTTGGGATCATCCTGGGGGCTGTACATCCTGGTCCTCTTGTTGTTGAGATGCTGCTTCACAGCAATTTCCTTGATGTGCTGGTAGTTGTTTTCTTTGCCAGGCTTTTTCACTGGAGGGGACCGCGTGCCATTTAATTCTCCTAATGAAGGGAAGGGTAGGTTAAAGGATTTGGGCAAACTTTTATCATTGGCTCTCTTTCAATTCATGAGCTGAAACTGGCATACAGGATGTTAAGGAGGAATTTAATGAATTAAAATGACAAGTTCAGCATAACCAAACAGGAATTCCAATACAAGTTTTACAGCAAAACATAACAAATAAATAAATAAATAAAAATATACATTTTCTGTAAACTACTACAGATTCTTCCACCATGACCCATGAATTTAAAGTCGATTATTTGTATAAATAAATAAATAGCACATACATATGCAAATAAATATATTGCACTTACAGCTGTTGTATACATTTCTTTGAATTTTGAATTCTGACAACTAAATTCAATTTAATTCAAATTAAAATTCAGGAACTGAATAGCTTCTTAAAAGCTATTGTCAATTAAATTGTGAATGCTGCACAACTCTGTTAGGTTAGATGTTGCATAACAAATTGACATATTATGTATAGAAATTTGGATTATTGCTCTCATTTCAAAGACCGCAAGCTATCTTTTTGTCAATGAAAGCAAACCCAGGATCAGTGTTCTGGCAGCGCATCAAAGAAAGGCAGAGAGAAAGTTAAAGGCTGGGATTAATGACAGCTCTTGATTCAGATAGTCATAGAGGCCTGTGAAGAGATATGTGCCTTTTAAGTCAAAACGTGCCTGGCGAATCACAAGCAAACTACTAATAACAAAAAGACTTATATCCTTATTTAAAGGAATAGTTTACAAAAAAAATTACGTTCATTGTATGAAAAAAAATATCTTATTTTGTGTTGCACAGAAGAAAGTCTTACAGGTTTGAAACAGTGTGAGAGTGCCTAAATTGTTTGTAATTAAAGAATTTTCATTTTTGGTTGAACCATCCGTTTAAGAAAAAATATCTTTATAATTACTAATATTTAAAGCTGCAGTCCGTAACTTTTGAGCAAGTACATAACCAGCCAGTGTTCAAAACTATCTCTTTACCTTAGCCCGATTCACAATGGTAAGCTTATAACAATGTTTTCTAATTTGAGTGGTCTGTAAACATAAAGTTAGTAGGCTATCGCATGTGTGGATGCTGCAGGTGGCGGATCGTTAATATAGTCTTTTCTCACAGCAGCTAGAATATTTAAACTTATCATTTTGATGGCAGATTTTAATCCATGAAGGTTTATGTATTTATGAAACACAAGTGACTGAAATTAGATTAGATTCCGGTTTTAAATGTGCATCTGATTACAGAGCCTACATGGGATTACACAAGTTTTGCATTTTTAAGGGATAGTTCACCCAAAAATGAAAATTGTATGTTTATCTGCTTACCCCCAGGGCATCCAAGATGTAGGTGACTTTGTTTCTTCAGTAGAACACATATGATGATTTTTAACTCCAGCCGTTGCAGTCTATCAGTCGTATAATGCATGGCAATGGTAACAAAATCTATGAGAGTAAAAAAAACATGCACAGACAAATCCAAATTAAACCCTGTGGCTCGTGATGACACATTGATGTCCTAAGACACGAAACGATCGGTTTGTGCCAGAAACCGAACAGTATTTATATAATTTTTTACCTCTAATACACCACTATGTCCAACTGTCTTATGGCGCGCGCACGGCATCAGGTGCGTTAGGTGTGTACGCGCTCTGGCGTAGTTTACGTTAATGGGTGTGTTG